AACTGACGTGTTTATCAGCAAGTGCTCTTCTACATGTACATACACATACTCTACGGTAAATGCCTAACTGGTGTAAACCATACTATCCCCAAAAAGAAACGCATAGGCGTTTTGTACTTAAAACATTCTATCAATTACCTATTCTGTTCAGACAATCGTCAAAATATGTAAAAGTATGTAGCAAAGAGCATGCACTGTCTGGCTTTAAAATCCAGATTACTTTCGGAAATCAGCATTCGTTTTGACGGAGTTTCAAGGTCAAATGACGACGCTACGTCTTAACGCTGCGACACGGAACATCGCCATTGAAAGAATTCACGCTGGAGATTACCAATCTTCTGTTGCCAGGCGTCTGAATGTTAGTCTGAGCACGATATCACGATTTGAGGCTCCTTACTACCAAAAAGGTATAATAAATCGGCGTCCCCGTACAGGCAGATCTAGAGTCACCACCGCAGGCAAAGATCGGTACACCCGGGTACTACATTTGCGTGATCGTACTGCCACGGGTGAGAGCACAGAAGCCAGGGTGTCTGGGCTTCGAAGGATATCCGGTCAAACTGTATGGAACAGGCTGAGAGAGATTGGACTTGGAGCCAGGAGCCCCGACGTCGGGGCCGTTCTACGTCGTCAACAAGGCACTCAACGTGTCCGTTATCTAAAAATATCCACTTGGTTGTATAGACATTTCCTTCTCCTAAACTGGTGTAAAAAATCATGTACTAAAGTCTATTTGTGGACGAGTTATGCATGTTTGAAAATACAACATTTTCGCATCAGATTTCTGGGTTATGCGTTTCTTTTCTTAACAGTATATATTCCTCAGTTCTTGTCAAAGATTTTGTAAGAACATCTTGAAATTTACACTTTCACTTAACCTCATTGTCTTTAGTGTCCCAAAACGTAGATATGAACTTGTGTTTCAGCTTGTTTTGAAAGAAAATATAAAGATGACATAAAGAGTGGGTGAGATAAAATGTACAGGCACATCGCAATATTTCAGCCATATCGTGACTAAAACAAGTTTCAAATTGACCATATATACATGTAAATTATAAAAAAAACTGTCAACGAAGGACAGTAAAACCAACTAAATATCAAAGTGTTAAGAATAAAACTAGCATATCTCTCTAAAATTGGACTTCGAATTAGGACAAGACAGTATAAAAATGAGCTATAGATCGCCAACAACCGAAGGTAGATCACCATACTAGGGACCACGGGGACTTACAGTACCTTTGCTACCTGCATGGACCGTAGTTGGTTTTACACCATCCCCTCAGCGGCTGGCGATAGTAGGAAAAGTTTATCCGAATTTTATAAGAACAAATATACTACGTTTAAAAATCTGGTTAGCTTAAATTTAACTTTGAAAGTTTTGGGACTTACGTACCCTCTCAGGAGGACAATAAATTTACGATATTTTATCCCCTTTCGAGGATACAGCCACTAACAATCGCAGTTGCTAATTTAAACTTCCAAACATAAAATATTTATCTATTTACAAATCATTCAACAAATCTAATTCTTTTCAAAATAACGTAAAGAGACAACAGGAGTACATTTCCACGTCTTAACAACTTGTAAATGGTCGTGGTTTGACAACACAAATTTTCCCATGCTGCTAACAACTACTTTAATCATTGTAGGGTTAACATTTGAGCCCAATTTCGCACAAACTGGTTTTACTCATTTATGACTTATGATCCGAATAACGTTCTTGAATGCAAAACAAGGCCATCCACAAATAACAGCCATAATATGTAGGTGTAATTGTAACTTGCCACTGGTAGTTCTCTTTGCGTCAACAAGAAATGAAATAACAAAGGCGTTACACCCTTACCGTACACCTTTGCCTTACACATACTTGCCTTTTTTGGGTCCATACACATCCAATAATAACATTGTTCTTAAAAAAACATAACTCATACTAATTTGCACATTTTCATGCTACTGCTACTAGACCCAAAAGAAGGACTGAGTGGGTGAGTTAATATTTAAAGTCACATCAACTTTATCTCAGTCTATACATTTACATCATAAAAACTGTTGACACAGATCAGTAAAACCAACTATCTCTAAAACTGGTTTGCTAAACAGAGTAGATCGCCAGAAACTGATGGTAAATCACCATACTAGGGACCAAGGTGACTTGGATTTATATCATCCCTTCAGCTGCTGGTCATTGTAGTCAAATTCAGCCATCATATAAAACCACAAATATACTACGTTGTAAAAAATCGGCAAGCTTAAATTTACTGTTAATGTTTTGAGACTTCACTCAGGAGGACAATGATTTTACACTACTTCAACCCCCTGTGAGGATACTGCCACTCTCAGTTGCTAACTTACACAATTAACTACTTACAACACATTTATCCAAATCTATTCAACAACTCAAGTATTAAATAGAACAATGTACAACATTTTAGTAACATTTTTCAATTATCTTCTAGATAAACAAGAAAACAACGTTATCACTCTTCCACGCCACAGGGCTTATAATAGTAATGAATAAATCAAACAATAAAAAGAGACAAATAAAGCCTTCAGATGATATAGCTACATTAATCGCTGATGTACTCATCGAAAAAATATTTAATGTGAAATATACACTCACAAAACGCCCCTTTTCATTTTCGAAATCAGTCGTTGGTAACGCAGTAGGTTTTCAGAAAACTTGTTGTGTGCATTGAATAAAAATAACATCTACCATGGGGCATGACTGTGTATCATACGTCAAAAACTATTTTATAAGGAGTGAAGCATAAAATGATTGATAGCGCCTTTTTACGAACACAGCCCTGGCTAGCTATTCTCGAAACGTTCGTATCCCTACGAACTTCTTAAGCCCATTCTTAACACTTTGGAAAGCCTGTCCTCCCTATGCATTAGCTTTCAAATATTGGAGCAAGGGCCATTACTCTGGAATAAAAATATAATATAAGACATAAAACTTAGACCATGAACAGAAGCAACAAGCGTGTTAAATCTATCAGCTTCAATAATGTGAGATAACGTTTTCCCCATTTCATGCATTTTGCACCAAGAAAGACTAATGAAACATGGACCATAACTCTGTTTTACAATTCGAATTCTCATTAGATTGTGACAGGTAACATCGGTGTGTATTTCATTTCCCCAACTAAATTAAGTTTCGAACAAAATGTCTTCATGAAGAAGCGGACCGATAGGCGGAGGGACGGACGAACTAATTCTTTTTATTCCCTACCCCACTTCGTGACTGGGAATAATAGAGAATGTGACACCAAATATACATTCTTCAGTATGGTACCACTCTTCCTAAAAAGCTTGTTCCTCATCTGTCTTATTGAATGAAACACTTTAAAATACTTCCTATTGACATTACCAAGCATACTTGACAAATCGATTCGTCTGTAAGTGTAAGTATTGATAACATTATCTTGTCGAATAAACACTGACCAATCTTTGAGACTTTGAGTTTTCAAATAAAACACTTAAAAAACTTCTACACGTGGAACATTTGTATCAGATTAAACTTATGTTGTCAATATATTGCAACGTTCCATTTTTGTTTATGTTTTCACCTACTAATGTTATCTTTTCTCCTGATCCGGGGTTAGAATTGATCTTCAGTAACCCATGCTTGTCGTAAAAAGCGACTAACGGGATCGATTGGTCAGGCTCGCTGACATGGCTGACACGGCTGACACATGTCATCTTATCGAGTTGCGTAAATCGATGCTCATGCTGTTGACCACTGGATTGCCTGGTCCAGACTCGATTATTTGCAGACCATATAGCTGGATTATTGCTGAGTATGGCGTAAAACGTAACTCACTCACCCATGTCTCCTGTCCAAAATGTTTTTGGGATCACTTACATGTAACAATCTCTATAAGCTTTCTGGTTGACGCCCCCTGTATTCTCTGTTTTATACTTCTACATGTACTGTTATAAGCATTTTTCACCGGTTAAACTAAAATTCATTTGAACATCTACATATGCTTTTGGGATAAATTTCACACAACAACCATTTCGTATTTATAGTAACTCCTCCGACAGGTTCCTTCATAAACAAACAGCATTCAACAATGCTTCAAGGAAACAGTTTTTACTTTCATTATTATCTGGCAAACATCATTAATAGTTCTGACATATTAAAATCATGCACAAATTGGAAAGTATTACAACCAGGTGTACCAGGAATTTCGAGAAATTCAGTTTTTATTATAATACGTATGTCAGAATATCAAAAATCGCCTACTAATTATATACTCGTGAATTACTGAAAATAAGAATAGTTATGTTGTCATGGCATAATTAGCAACTCAATATATTTCTGATTATGATCTCCCCAAATGAATACAAGCCATGAAATTGCTCCTCACCTATTGCTAAATCTCTTATCAGTCAGTCATATCTTTCCATACTGCAGGACAAAGGTATTGTCACGACAATCGAACACATTTACCCACTAACGTTGTCGAGCCAGGAGTCCTGAATGGCCATTTATCACACGGGGTCTTCTTTAGATTGTTTCATCATGGCCATCAACACATACAATCTTCGCCCTCTCCTGTGACCAGTATTTGTTCTTGCTGTTAGCAATACATGCTGTCATATCTGATTGAATTTATCATGTTTCATCAAGTCTGTCTCCGTGTAATTAGAATTTAGTGTATATATAAAGCGTCAGTCTGAATATTCCATCACACTGGCTCTGTCCATCCTGAAGCTGACAGTATGCAGTCACTCCTTGCACAAGCTCTACTGATAGCGCTCTGCGTTGTACATGCAGGTAGGTTTACAAGTGACGCACACTTTCTGTAAGGCAACTGCTGTAGAGTTTGTTATTCGGGAAAATGTTACATATAATAGCCAACTGAGCAAATTTTACTTGTTTTCATACATGAGGTATGTTTTGAGTAAAATATTGAGTTGTAAAACATTTTGCGTAAACAGAACATGCGTCTACATCTTATACTGAAATTTCAAACAGTTTCAAGATGATCAAAATGGCACGTTTCAATTTCCTTGCAGAGTGCGGAGGAAGCAGGACTCCATGTGCGTTTATTTCGCGATCATCCAAGAGTAAAAGAAACACTGTGCCTGTAAACAGAAGCAGGTATGTGGAGAAAATGTCCCGACAATCTTAATTTCATAAAACACCTAGATATAACATTTACAAAGTAATATCATCATCTTTATGATCAAATGTTATTCTAAACTGAGTTGACATTTATAAATTTATCAACGATAGGTAGGTGTTAGGGTACTTTAAATGACAGTTGATATGTCAATGGATAAAAAAGTGATGGAAATGTCCCCTCTAAATAATGCTGTTTTGTCCAGGCGAACAACCTGCGATTCAAGTGACACCTATAGGACAGCTGATGGCACGTGTAATAACGTGGAGAATTCAAGCTGGGGAGCTGCAGGTGCTCAACTTGCAAGGTGGCTTGAACCTGAGTATGCCAGCGGTCAGTTAATATATTTTCTATTTGATTTGATGCTCCTTTACATCTTGTCACACTGGTAACAAGATTACTAATCATATTGAGCCATATATACCAGCAGTCAGTTGATGTCTATAAATCTCTATTTCTAAAAATATCGTCTAATAAAAAGGAAAAGAAACTATTTACAATGTCTTACAGTCTTAAAAGTATCTGCATATCCAATGCCAATACAAACCTTCAAAATTGAAAGTGTTGAAAGTTCCTTTGTATGTGTGTGTGTGAATAGAGAGCTTAATCGCCTTAGGAATATTCAAACAGATGACATAACACTATGATTTAATATCAGGTGTAATCAGAACGGGAGACGTAGTATTCATGGAAAAACGTTTCGTCAGTGTATTGAACTATTTAAAACCAGAGACAGTGATCTGTTTGTAACAAGATGCCCCAGTGGAGCAGTCAAGACGCAAATTCATTTATGCCTTTGTGTACAGTGTTACAATACATAAAACGAAACAGAACTGTAGATTCTGCTATGATGGCGAAAAAATAACATAAAAAATCGTTTCTGCTGTATATTTCAGGAACTGGTGGAAACCCCAGAGCTCTGGCCTCTGACGGCTCAGACCTGCCTAACGCAAGAAGTATCAGCAATCATGTTCACTTTGAGCTGAGTTTCCTGTCTGTTAAACACTCCGTCATGGTGATGCAGTGGGGGCAGTTTCTTGACCACGATATTACCGGAACTCCGGTGTTGACAGGTAAATATATGAATATTTACCATTGATAATAATGATACACAGTATGTCATCACATGTCAATAATCACTTTGAGCTGAGTTTCCTGTCTGTCAAACACTCCGTCATGTTGATGCAGTGGGGTCAGTTTCTTGACCACGACATTACGGGAACTCCAGTGGTGACAGGTAAGTACATGAATTTTTACATTTGGCAACAAGAAGACATGGTCATTAATACCCCCGCCACAGTGTGCTGTTCCTATATGGTTCTTGTTTTTAACTCCATCAAGGCATTCATGTCCTGGAAACACATAGCACATTTTCGTTTCGCTATCTATAATAGTAACTGAGAAGATTTGTTCTCATCATCCCAGACGGACGGACATGCAAAGCTCAAACCTAAATGATACACAGTCGGTCATTCGAATGTCAATTATCACAGTTACAATTTGAAGAGTATGATTTAGTTTGGTGTCTTGCATTCTTTATAAAAATCACAAACATCTTAATGCAAACGTTTTTGTTTTAGTCTTTGCCTTCTGACTGACAACAATTTGTATGGCCATTTATCCTTTACAGATAATGGAAGCGACATTGACTGTTGTGACAGAACTGATTCTGTTCTCAGCGAGTAAGTTGTATTTACTATGCAGTAAACAGCAATAAACTAAACATTAAGAACATCTTCCTCTTATACTTATTACGTTACTTGTCATATCATGTAAAATAACAGAACAAGCACCTTGAATTAAAGTACACGTAACATACAGGAGAGGATTTTCTTCCTTTCATCAGCCCTGATTCTCCATGTTTCCCGATCAACCTTCCTGATGGTGATTTCTACTTTGGCGATGGTAAATGTATGAATCTGGTGAGATCGGAGGCTGTTTCCGGAACAGGCACAGATTCCTCAAGTAAGGGAACACATCATTCATTTTTCACATACGTATTTCAATAGATGTCCTGGGAAAATATACTGCATGTGGTTTAGCTGGGTTTTTGTCACTGTTTTGAAACGGCCGTTGTGACAAAGTTTGAATATAACTACCTAAAGGGACATTTACTCACTCTGTTATTCTTTCAAATAATTTAGCATTCAGGACATTTGTGAGTCCACTTTATGCTCGTTCTACAGACGCTTCTGATTAAGAATTACAACAAAATATGCATTTCTTGTGATCTAAGCCGCCCTTGAACTAAAAGTGCATGTAAAAACATCGGTTTTAGATAAGTTTTATCTGAAGTAATTTCTCTGCTGAACCTATTGGAATCAATCTTACACGGTACACTTATCTCAGATTTCCCTCCTTTCCAGATCCTCGACAACAGTACAACGAACTCTCCGCTTTCATAGACGGTTCCCAGATCTATGGCATTTCTGACTCCGAAATGGCTGAGCTCAGAGACACTGACTCTGGATGTAAGTTAAAAAGCTCTGCTGATTTTAGAATTTTGTAAATGAAAATTTCTACTGGCAAGATCGTCATTTAATACCATACGCTGCATTGCCTTTCGGCGAATGATAACTGAAAAGCGACATCTGTCTCTGTATTTGAGCGTCTATATGTAAGCATGCCCATTCTTGAGTTACCTTGTTTCTTTCCAGCTGGATTGCTGAAAGTGGGAACAAATAACCTTCTGCCAGAAGGAGATTCTGACGATTGCTTTCTCGATACCTCTGATTCAAGCAACTACTGTTTCAAAGCAGGTTGTTTCCTTAAAACCATTTTTGTCTATATTTTGTATAACTGAAGAATGTGTTATTTGAGTTTGTGTGTGATCATCGCTGGCAACTATGTGAGTTGACTGTTTAATATCTATGCTAGTTATAAACACAATACATGATATTGCATACTAATCATAGTACTTAGTTTCAAATACAACAGTAAAAATAATACATACACAACGCTGTTTGTAAAGTGGACAAGTATAACACGTTATATTTGTGATTACACTTTCTCAGTAAAGTAGAGATTCAAGTACGGCTTTTTTTGTTTTGACCATTAAGCAACTGAGAGTGTGAGATTGTATCCTCGATTGGAATCAACCACCAAAACGAATGTTACTAAACGTAATACTTGAATTTCCACATTCCTGCAGGTGACTCGAGAGTCAATGTCTTCCCTGGCCTTAGCGCTCTGCACACACTGTTCATGAGAGAACACAACCGTGTTGCAACAGCTCTCAAAGGATATAACAGTGACTGGGATGACGAGAAACTCTTCCAAGAAGCACGACGAATAGTCATTGCTGAACTTCAGGTAAGAATTCCCTTCTGTAGAAAACAAATGAATCAAAATGATTCAAAGTAGTAAAAAGTACATTCACATGGAGAGGTGAATAGAATGTTATGAAATACACAACGTTGAATCTGTCATTGTAACTGATAAAATGATGATAATGAATAACTTGAGGAAGAACATTATGGTTTTAACCCTTCAACCTCTACTTCACAATTGAAGTTATATGCTAATATGTTAATATAAAGAATAAACTTTACATCGTATATCCACCATCAGGTTATCACATACAACGAATGGCTGCCTCAAGTTCTCAGTGACGACGGGGCTGCAAACTACAGCCTCGGACTCGGCAACTACAACTACAATTCTACCCTTGACCCATCACTAAGTAACGTCTTCTCGACGGCAGCTTTTCGATTTGGTCATTCCATGGTGCCAGAAAACCTGACGATAGGAGGTGAAGTCGTGGACACTGGTGACCTGTTCAAGAGGACCAAATATGTCATCAACAGCCTGGATAACGTTATCAGTAGTTTTCTGGATGCTCCTGGTGAACGAGCTGATGCATGGTATGTCGATGGCATGAGGCAGAGAATGTTTGAAGAAGATTCTGCCACAAAGGACGGATTTGACATTGTGACTCTGAACATTCAGCGTGGAAGGGAACATGGTTTACCTTCCTACAACGACTGGAGAGACTACTGTGGTCTCGGCAAAATTACCTCTTTCACATCCGATAATGATTTCGGATTATTTCAAGCTAATGATCTCGAGGAAATGTAGTAAGTGTTTATTTTGCTTGTATTACTGTCAAAATGATTGACTCCAATCTATAGCATTAGCTAGTATTAACACAAAACCTTCAGATATATAATTATTTTCATTATTTAAAAGATCTTTTTCATTTTTTTTATCAAAATATGTTCACACTACTGGAGCTACAAAGGTCCAAATTACATATGAAGAATGTGTCTGTACTCTTCCAGCCACAGCGTCGATGACATTGACCTGTACAGTGGAGGCATTGCTGAAGCTCCTGTTGCTGGAGCAGCTGTAGGACAAACTTACATCTGTCTGATCGGCGAACAGTTCAAGAAACTGAGAGATGGGGACAGGTTCTGGTTTGAATCTACAGACGCTGTCACTGGGTTTACGTCCGGTAAATACATGGCACCTCCCTTCTTGTATTATATATGCTGATTAAATGTATGAGGAGGAACACACACACACACACACACACACACACACACACACACACACACACACACACACATGTATGTTTCGTTTAAAAGGTTCCTTCATAACCTTCATTTGTTTCATTTCAGATCAAATAACTCAGTTGGAAAAGGCAACATTGTCTCGTATCATTTGTGATAATGCGGACAACATCAGCACCATCCAGCGTCAGGCCTTCCTGAATGTTAACATTGGCGGCGTTGAAACAGCGTATGTTGAATTATAACATGGCTCTACAAGTGCAATCGTTTAGAATTGAATATGTCCTTGGGTATTATGTTCGATCAATATTGGACCTTTGGGCCTTATATAAATATGAATATACGCCTAAATGCTCGTGGTATACTAAAGGTGTTAAAGTCAAGTGTAAGGGGACCTAAACTCGACCATGGCTACATCGTATATGATGTAGCCTGCAAAAGCCCTTCTAAACTGCTTTATTCTTTTTACCGTCAAGGTCTCAAACTTTGTCTTGGATCCATTCGAACATGCAGGTTTTAAGTCAAAATCTTTGCTACTCTAGATACACTAGATAACCAAAGCCGTACATTAGGGACGTAGTCACATGCAATCAGAATTTAACACATTGAACTTACAACCAGGCCTCATGTCCTGTCTCTTATAAAGTTGTGGCTATTTCTATTTTATATGTTGATTTGATATTGTCGAGAGATATGGAGAAATATTAAAAATGTATATGCACTGTGTAATGCTGGTTTTGTTTATTTTCAGAAACCCCGAAGTGAGCTGCTCTACACTGAAGGAAGTGAGGCTTAGAAAATGGCAAGAATAACAACAAGAACACATACCTATCCTATCCACGTCTTGTCAGCAAGCTAATAAATACATTAACGCGATAAATATGTTAATTTGTCTTCTTATCACACGGATCTTCCATCAGCCTGAACAGTACATGCACATCTATCTTAATGGATATGTTTCAGTTTAGACAGTTGATTACTGATCAATGGAGACATTGCTTTCTTCCATACAATGTGGTTGTGAACTATCTATTCGGAAAATGAAAACAGGGGATATGAGCACTATCCTACTTTAAGTTAACAGATGGTCGACTGACCTTATCGTAGCGAACCGCCTCCGTGGTGTAGTGGTTAGAGCGTCCGCCAGGAGAGCGGAAGGTCGCGGGGTTCGATCCCCAACTGCGTCATACCAAAAGACGTTAAAATATGGTACTTGTTGGTCCCTGCCTTGCGCTCGACATTAATGGGTACAACAAGGACTGGTCGGTTCGGAGTCAGTATAATGTGTCTGAGTGGGGAATTCATGCTTCATTGCGGCATGGTATCTCAGTGGGCTAGCACTATATATAAAACCAGCTTCAGTCTGGGCTAGTACAAGCAGCCGCACATACACATACACATACACACGCATGCACACGTCGTCATATGAGCGAAATATTCTCAAGCACGACGTAAAACCCAATTTCGTCTCACCTCACCTTATCGTAGCGCCAGCTAGTATAAATGCTTCTCGCTAACTCTTCAAGTCACTTTGCCTGGATGTTCAACCATTGAACTCGATTGTCATTTTATTGAATCTATACCTGAAGACAATTGTGGCTTGATGAGGTGATGATTAATGGGAGTGAATGGATGGGTAGCTTATGTTTGCATGTTGGAAGAGAAGACATATCCCTTATATAACATAACACATAATGTCTACTGTAAAAACAGCCTCTTTCAAGACTTTGTAATTTTCAATGCAAATCTTCTGACATTTCTGACGGATATTAGTACTGTTCCACTGAAACGTGACGAATGACATTATCTCTCTGGTCCATATTTGAATTTATTTTCAACAGTAAAGAGTCAGTCGTAAAAGTAACATATTCCTGGTGAGTGCTGGGTAAAGATAATATATTTTCCCCGTGTGGATAATTATTGCTGGTCGTAAGAGGCAACCGATTTGGGCAACATGTTTACTGCGGGTTGAGTGAGTGAGTTCAAATTAAAAGTCACATGGGCAGTTGAAAATGTGTAAATGTAAACATGAAATAAAAACAAACTTATATTCTTACCTGTCTGCGAAGGACAGTAAAATAACTAGTCTATCACAGATGTACACTTGAAACTAGCATATAACCATAAACACTTTAACCGGACAATATAAAATTGACTAGAGATTGCCAAGGTAGATCACGATACTAGGGAGTAGGGACCATACTACATTTGCTTCCTGCATGGACCTTAGATGGATTTACACCGTCCCTTCAGCTGTCAGGAGGTTTAGATAATTCAGCCATATTCTAATGAGTGAGTGAGTAAGTTAAGATTTAAAGTCACATCGGCAATATTTCAGACATATCGTGACTAAAACTACTTCTAACTTCATAATACATACATATAATATATAAAACCCTGTCAAGGAAGGACAGTAAAGTCACTACATTATCACAAAATGAGTTAAAACTAGCTAGCATATACCTTTAAAAGTAGAAAACTAGTTTGGGACAAAAACAATGTAAAGATTGGCTATTGATCGCCAACAACTGAAGGTAGATCACCATACTAGGGACCATGGGGACTTACCGTACTTTTGCTACCTGCATGTACCCTAGCTGGATCTATATCATCCCTTCAGCCGCAGGCGATTGTAGTCGAATTTAGCTATAAATTAAAATCACCAAAAATACTACGTTTCAAGAATCTGGTAGGTTGAAATTTCCTTTGAATGTTTCGGGACTTCAACTCCCTTTGAGGGTACAGTCACTAACCATCTAAGCTACTAATCGGAACTACCAATCATTAAAATACACCTATCTGCAGAACATATTAATAAAAATGCATCAGTTAAATCACTTTCATTTCAAAAACCAATATTTAAATGAGTGAGTGAGTGAATTTAGTTTTACGCCACACTCAGCAATATTCCAGCTATATTCCGGCGGTCTGGAAATAATCGAGTCTGGACGAGACAATCAAGTGATCATGACTCTGAGGGTGTGGGTTCGAATCCCGTATGGGACTCAACCCAAAAAAGTACTAGAATCTGTACTTTACTAAGAAAGTGCAATCCCAAATATAACATATGTTACAGCATGAGCATCCATCTACGCAATTGGGAACCGATGACATGTGTCAACCAATTCAGCGAGCCTGACCAACCGATCCCGTTAGTCACCTGTTACGACAAGCATGGGTTACTGAAGATCAATATTCTAACCCGGATCTTCACGGGTCCAATAATTAAATGAAAATTAAAAGTGGTAAAAAGATCTTTAACTGTTTTCGCATTGGAAAATGTATCCCTTATGATGGAGAATTCAACACAGTAAAGATTCAAATCTGTACTGACAACCCAAGTAGGTGTAACCAATATAGGGTTTTATTGCATGTGATTTATTGATACCTACTTGGGTGTCCCATTTCTTCTGCATCAGATCACGGATATAAGATCTCATTATAGCTTTATAATCAGAGTATGGAATAAGAATAAGAAGTGGTTTCACCCATTTGTTAAGTGATGTCTTAGCAGCAATATCAGCCATTGTGTTACAAGAGATTCCAACATGGCTGGGTTCCCAACAGAGGACGATGTCGTATTGGCCGTAACAAGAGTATTATAGGAAATTTATATAGCGCACATATCCACGCAACTAGTGCATGCTAAAGGCGCTGGTATTTATTTTTCCCTCGGTCATTGGATGTCAATCTCAACGGCACATCGTATTATCAATCTCAACTCCCCGGGGTTAATACAACTCTTGCAGCCACAAGGCACACCGAGTTATTGCGGCTTTCTCATCCTTACGAGGTACCCATTCTCAGCTGGGTGGACTGGGACACATAACCACGGTACTTTGTCCAAGTTCACTGCACGTTGCAGTACTCGCAACTAGGTGTTTGCATGTGTTCATGTGGCCACCATCTGGTCATATACCAACGGATTCGTGGGTTCTTTTAAGTGAAAAGGGTTGTGTACTGTACACTAGGGGTTGTGTCAACACTGAAAGAGTCTTCACACAAAGTTGACTCCTAGGTTTTTACACCCAGTCACAGGTGGGACCTCAATCTCGCTCGATCACTTGCCTGGCGCTTTAGCCAGCTCGCCCACCGCGCCCCCGGAAGATCATTATATAATTCAATAATTTCTATTAAAAGTGGATGTTTGGAAGAAAGATTATTAGAAGCCTGAAGGCACGAAAGAGAGTCTGAAAAGATGATATATTGTTTATATGTTTATATTTTGTGTGTTTATCGATATATTTTAAGGCTGTTAATATGGTGTTAGCTTCTGCTGTGAACATAGAGCTGTTATCAGGCAATCGAGAAGATATTGTTCTGGATCGAATGACAGTGGCACAAGCTACTGCGCCACCATCCTTGGACTCATCTGTATATAAGGATTTGTGTGTACTTTATTTATCTTTTAACTGAATAAATTCCTGTTTATATTGTAATTCATTAGTGTCTGATTTTTTAAGTGTGGTTAATGTTGGGTCAACTTGTGGCCTCACCAAATGCCAAGGAGGAGAAGAAAGAAGACGGGAAGGAGATATATTTTCACGATCAATGCCTGCAGCAGAAATGAATAGCTTAATTCTGAAGCCAAGAGGCGGAACAAGGGAAGATTTCTTCTTGTGTAAATCCTCATAGAGGAGATTAAAGACACAGTTAAACAGTCAACCAAATGGTCACTCAGAAAAAAAGAAAGGTAGAGCAGTATCTCCTGTTACTGCTCCTTTGGCCACCATGACCCATTTGTCCAATATCGTTCAATGGAATTGCAGAGGATTGAAAAATAAGTTCAATGAAACAGAATTACTCAATCAAGATCTTCAACCGTCAGCATTTTGTCTTTTAGAGACACACCTTAAAAACACAGACACCTTTAACTCAAGTGCACAATTTTCATTCCCTTTCTCCTCCTGGACTCCTTTCAACTGGAGGTGCTTCTATTATAGTACGGCGGGGCATCATACATAGCCCTGTATCTCTCAATACCAATCTCCAAACTGTAGCTGGTCGTCTGACTCTCCACATTGCCTTGACTCTGTGCAGCTTGCATATCACTCCTTCTTCTGACATCCGACAGTCGGATCTTCAAAATCTGTATGATCAGTTTCCAGAGCCATCTATCATCATGGGTGACCTCAATGGACACAACCCGCTTAGGGGAAGTGCCAACACAAATAATAAAGGTAAATTCATCGAGGAATTCATTTACGATAATAGTTTATGTATTTTCAATGGTGATTCAGCCACTTATCTACATCCAGCTACGGAAACATATTCTTCCCTGGATCTGTCACTTGATGACTCCATTATATATACTGAATTTGATTGGATGGTTCATGATGACCTGTGTGGGAGTGATCACTTCCCCATCATTCTCAAAACAATCAACCCTGGCGATGATCCACCTTTATCTAGAGGAACTTCGCCAGGGTGGATTGGTCATTATATAAAACACTATGCACTGAACACTTAAAACAAGATGTTTTTGCGAACAGCAAGTTGTTTTCGGATATATTCAATGACATTGTTGACCAAACTATACCCATGTCCTCTGCAATTCCACATATTCGTAATCCGTGGCTTAAGAATGAATATAAACAGGCCAGAAAAAGTAGGAAGACAGCTGAAAAGTATTTTCGCCGACATCCTACAGTCCATAATTTAGATAAAGTAAAAAATTTGAATGCCACGGCTCGACGCACATTTAAACAGAATACGCGTGGGTCCTGGAGGAACTATGTTTCCAACATTAATTCCCGTACACCGATTTCAAAGAAGTGGAACATGGTTCAAAGAATAAAAGGCAAAGGCTCAAAATCTACCGTTCAATATCTTAAAGACGGTGACAACCTCTTAACT